TGATCAAAGGTCTGGAGAACAAACCCTATGAGGATTAAAGAGCTGGGCATGTTTAGCCTGAAGAAGAGAAGGCTGAGAGGAGACGTGATAGCCATGTATAAATATGTGAGAGGAAGCCATAGGGAGGAGGGAGCAAGCTTGTTTTCTGCTTCCTTGGAGACTAGGTCGTGGAACAATGGCTTCAAACTACAAGAAAGGAGATTCCATCTGAACATGAGGAAGAACTTCCTGACTGTGAGAGCCGTTCAGCAGTGGAACTCTCTGCCCGGAGTGTGGTGGAGGCTCCTTCTTTGGAAGCTTTTAAACAGAAGCTAGATGGCCATCTGTCAGGGGTGATTTGAATGCAATATTCCTGCTTCTTGGCAGGGGGTTGGACTGGATGGCCCACGAGGTCTCCTCCAACTCTTTGATCTATGATTCTATGACACGATTTCACGGCTGAGCAAGGTGTCCTACTAGATGGGATCCAAAATCTATCCCAACTCAAGTCTTAAATAAAGTCAAGGCTATATATAAATGTAAATAAAAGTTCCTGGGTTTTTTATTCCAACCTTGTGGCCTTCAACTTATTCAAAGAATTTGGATTGCAACACCATGATTCCATACCAGTTGCCATGTTGGGTTAAGTTTCTGGAAGTTCATTGTTGGCCTCCTTTTTTGGTGCTCATGCAAGAGTAGTTTCCCTCATACAAGCAGGGGCTGAAGCATGTTGTCTGCAGTCCTTTGAAGAAAGTGGAGCCCCATGCATTGTTGTGTGTCTCATTGCATGTTGCGTATTATGCATAGCTTGCCTGTTATGCATTGTCGAAGGCTTTCATGGCTAGAACCACTGAGTTATACGTTTTTCAGGCTATATGGCCATGTTCTAGAAGCATTCTCTCCTGACGTTTCGCCTGCATCTGTGGCAAGCATCCTCAGAGGTTGTGAGGTCACAACCTCTTAGGCTGCTTGCCATAGATGCAGGTGCAACGTCAGGAGAGAATGCTTCTAGAACATGGCCATATAGCCCGAAAAACCTACAACTCGGTTTCCTGTTATGCCTTAGTAGTGTAGGATCAATCAAGTATCGGACAGAGGAAAAGTCACAAGGTCTTCCTCTTTTGGCTTTGTAGTCAGGGCAACTTTCCCAGGTCTGCTTGAAGGGATGCTGAAGCCCATTATCTCAACTTACCGTTCATAGATGAAGCCAGTTAACAGTGAAACTGCAAGACTCTCTGGCCTATTGAGCTATTGGGCCATTTAGTAATTCTTCAGATGTAATTTCTGGTCAGATACATTAAAATCAAGGAAGTAGTTGCATGGAACTGCATTACAATCTAGGAAGCTGTTGTAGTAAACCTGATTGCACTACTCTGCATGGATTTTAACTGTGATTTTTTGAAAATATTGTTTTTATTTAATTCTGTTTAATGTATGAAAATTTGTATATTTGAAATTGTATGTTAATGCTTTTATGTTAAGCCGCTGTGAGTCTCCTTCGGGAGAGATAAAGTGGGGTATAAATAAATAAATATAATAATAATAATAATAATAATAATAATAATAATAATAATAATACCATCTGCCAGCGACAAAGAACTGGTGGGATCACAAGCCTGAAAAAGTTACAGAGAATGAACACGTCAAGCTACTCTGGAACTTCTGGATTCAGAAAGACAGAGTTTTGGAGCACAATATTCCTGACCTCATGATCGTGTTAAAAAACAAAGTGTGGATTGTCAATGTTGCAATTGCAGGTGACAGCAGGATTGATGTGAAACAACTGGAAAAACTGACACAATATGAGGATTTATAGATCGAACTGCAAAGACTCTGGCACAAGCCAGTCAAGGTGGTCCCAGTGGTGATCGGCACACTGGGTGCAGTGCCTAAACCTTGGCCTGGACTTAAACACAATCAGCGCTGACAAAATTACCATCTGTCAGCTGCAAAAGGCCACCCTACTCAGACCCGCATGCATTATTTGCTGATACATCACACAGTCCTAGACACTTGGGAAAAGTTCGGCGTGTGATTGAATACAAAAGGCAGCATAGTGATCTTGTTTGCTGTGTACTAATCTTGTTGTGTATCAAATAATAATAATAATAATAATAATAATAATAATAATAATAATTCTATGCCTAGTGAAAAACTGACTTAACTGGTAGCAAGGACATCTGACCCCCACCCACGGCTGGAACTCTAATCTCAAGACCTTTCTGAAATACAAAGTGACTGGAATATTCCCAATATTCCAGTGTGTATGTCTCCCAACATTCAAAACAAATGGTCTTCTCCGGTTACTGACCAATGAGTCTCCAGCATCTCCCATATCAAACTATCTGGCCTCTAGGGCTTCTCTTTTGTTCGGTGAATAGCTTTTGATTCTACTTCTTCCCACAGAACAATTCGTAATCATTATGATAAGGGCCACAGTGGAACAGTGGGTTAAACCGCTAAGCTGCAGAACTTGCTGATCGGAAGGTCAGTGGTTCGAATCTGTGGGACGGGGTGAACTTCCATTGCTAGCCCCAGCTCATTAGATCATTAGATACCACTTTGGCGGGAAGGTAACGCCGTTCCATGCAGTCATGCCGGCCACATGACCTTGGAGGCATCTACGGACAACGCTGGCTCTTCAGCTTAGAAACAGAGATGAGAAGCACCCCACAGAGTCGGACATAAGTAGTCTTAATGTTGAGGGGAAATCTTTACCTTTACCTTATGACACTGCAACCCCGTTATCCGAGGATTCAATATCCATGGTTTCAATTACCCATATTCCTCAAAATATTAGTTTGTTACAGTAAGTCATAACAGGATCAAGTGTGTGTGTGTGTGTGTGTGTGTGTGTGTGTGTGTGTGTTAATTATTATGTGCAGCTGCTAATGTAGGTCAACTAGTAAGTTTGGACCACACCTGGTGGGGTATAACTGTATGGGTTTTAGAATACAGTTCACCTTTGCTCTGAGGAGCCTTTACTCAGGCATTTTGCTCAACCATTTCTACAGCTCTCTCATTTGGATGAAGATGAAGAAACCTTGTTCTGTATTGCTTACAAGGACTATGTAAGTTTATTGCACTGTTTGTAATATTGCAAGTTTATGTTTTAACTCTGCTGATAAGAGTAAAGTTTTTCTGTTCTTTTTCCTCTTGCCTGTGTGCAATGTTGTTATGTCTTCTGCATTGGACCTGACTGAAACACGCTATGTGCAACACTGTTTGCCAGCCTCTCTAGTTCGGTGTTTCCATATGGTTTGCTTCCAATCCAAGGAGAGCCAAAATATAGAGTTCCCTCCCTGTCATCCACAATTTGAGCTGGCCCAAGTATAATGGGATTGTATGGTGCAACATTCCCCTGTTAGGCTACAACTCTAATCTGCCCCAAATACTGTACATGCTGGTAGTGTTTCCCCAATCTTCCACTGTTCATGCTGGCTTGGGATGATGGGAATTATATTATTATTATTATTATTATTATTATTATTATTATTATTAACTTTATTTGTACCCTGCTAGCATCTCCCGAAGGACTCGATGCGGCATACAAAGGCCAAGGCCTCAAAACACAACATAACAATACAACACCTAAAGCAAATTAAAAACAATTAAAGCAATATTAAAACAACAAGCAATAAACAATACACCAAGACACAATAAAACTGGGCCGGGCCAGAGTAATGGGTACAGAATTAAAAGTGCTGATGTGACAGGTGATATGTAAGGATTATAGGGTAAGTGCAGTGTGCAGTAGTCTTAATTCTAATAAAGTGCTTCTGGAACTTGTTATTGGAGTTTTCCGATTCTGGGAAGGCACATCGGAACAGCCAGGTCTTCAAGTTCTTTCTAAAGACTGCCAATGTAGGGGCCTGTCTAAGATCTTTGGGGAGGGTGTTCCAGAGTCAGGGGGCCACCACAGAAAAGGCCCTGTCTCGCGTCCCCACCAAATGCGCCTGCGATGCAGGCGGAATCACAAGCAGGGCCTCTCCAGATGAACGAAGTGTGCGCATGGGTTCATAAACGGAGATGCGGTCTTGGGAAGGCCAGGCATGATGCTTGCTACATCCCTAGCCACAAAACAGAACAGGAGAGAAAAGTTCCAAATGTATACATATATATATATACTTTATTGAATAGTTGCTTTGAGGTGGTTCACTTCACCACCCATAGAATTATTTCTTTCATTTCAGCAGTGGTTCAGTAACAATTTCATTAGATTTGCCAGAGGAAAGGAGGGTGAAAGAAACAGATGCACAAATAAGGTTATAATAAATAGATCCAGATGCATTCTTTTTTAAAAAAAAACTTTTCAAATAAATTTCTGAAATAAATATGGTTTTTTCTTCTTAAAATGGTAGAGTGTGGTGAAAATATATATATACAACAAAGAAGGTATATGGTGAGCGGATATTATGCTGTATATAAATTGAGGGGGAGAACACAATTGCAGCGGATGCACCATACAGAACGCCTTTTGTATCTAGGAAAGCTCTGTCCCATTTGACCTGGGCTCTCCAAGTCCTTTCAAGGGACAGGACAGGGCCTTTGCAAAGAAGAATCAATGTGCTCGGAGCCAAAATTACCCAGAAATGGGAAGGAGGATCTTCGGAAGCAAGCTGAAAATAACAGAAGAAAGTCAAGGACAACAAGAGAAACCAGGGGACATCACTCAGAAACCCTGCCGATGTGAAAGAGACACGAGATTGGAAATGAAACACTTTTCTGAAAGGGACTCCAGTATTCAGTAGGAATTATTCTTCTAGCTCAAGGGTGAATGACCCGTGGCCCCACAGATCATAGTGGACTACAGCTTCCACCAATAGCAATGGGAGTTGTAGTCCAACCATTTCAGGTGTTCTCCGCCTCTACTAGATCAGTTTTTATGACCCCTTGTCTGTTAAGTTCAAGAACCTGGGGTGGCAATTTGTGTAGTTTTCATTCAACTTCCATGCCTTCATTTCATAGCCATCTGTTTGGGGTGCCTTGGTTAGACCACACCTGGAATACTGTGTCCATAAGGTCTCCTCCAACTCTATGATTCTATGTGACAAGAACCAATGAACCTAGTCAACACGCACTCCAGCAATGGTTCCCAACTTGTGGTCCATAGACCACCAGTGGTCCGCAAGAACTAAAATATGGTATGTGGCCTACACCATTGCAATGAGAGCAACTGGTCTTATGAAACCTTCTTATAGTGCTCAGGCTTATTAAGTATGGTTTTCTGTGGGCGAGCAGATAGCGACTACTGGATGGCATATGTTCTGTATCAGAAACTACTTCTGATGTGGTCAATCCAATGCAATTTTTCTGAATCAGCATCCCAAATCACCAAACCAAATCTAAAGTTGACCAAAACTGATTCATAACCTTCTTTGTACTAATGTTGGAGAGTGGTCAAAGTGGTCCTGGTCAAAAAAATGTTGGGAATCACTGCACTACAGGAATCAGGATCTCACTCAGACACTTCACCGCCTTCACCTACTTTCACAACCACAGCTATTTGTGGTTCTTTCGATGCAATTGGGACTGCAACTCCCTTCATTCCTAACCACCACTGCCAAGAAGAATGTTGGAAGCTGTAGACTAGTGGTTCTCAACCTGTAGGTCCCCAGGTGTTTTGGCCTACAACTCCCAGAAATCCCAACCAGTTTACCAGCGGTTAGGATTCCTGGGAGTTGAAGGCCAAAACATCTGGGGACCCACAAGTTGAGAACAACTGCTTTAGACCAATAACCAGTTAGGAGACATTATTGAATGGCAGAGAAGAAGTGTTTCTATACTACAACTCTTGAGAATTCCCAGCCAGCAGCAGCCGCTCTGCTTGAAAGTTTCTGGGAGTTATAGTCCCCCAAAAAGCCAAATTCTCCAAACTCTAATGAATATGCAGACTTTCTTGCACTTGGAAGGACACAGGTCATAATTCAGACCTGTTATCCTGCTCTCCATAGTAAGGAAAATGCCATAAAGGAAGCTTTCCTCTGTTGCTGAACTATCTAACAATGTCTACACTGAGTGGCAGTCGATCTCCAGGACATCAAGCAAAGATCTTTTCCATCTCCCTGTAAACCAGTGGTTCCCAACTTTCGGGCTTCCAGGTGTTTTGGACTTCAGCTCCCACCGTTCCTAACAGCTGGTAAGCTGGCTGGGATTTCTGGGAGTTGAAGTCCAAAACACCTGGAGGCCCAAAGGTTGGGAACCACTGCTGTAAACCGTAATACAAAATTAAGAGGAAAAGCTGTGCGAACATCTCCCTCTATAATCAAAGGTGTCCAAGGTGCTTTATTTAGGCAGGGGCAAACTGAAAGTACACACACAACCCATTGCAAAGAAATGTCTCCTTCACCCCAGAACCTTGAAATTGAGAGCTATAGCAAAAGGGAAAGCCAAATATCCATTCCCAGGAAAGTTTGTGCTAAGAGTCTTTCCTTGGAGCATTTCTCCCAATTTTCCCATGAAGACAAGAAGTATCATGACTTCTAATTTCAAAGCTGTTGTCCTGGGCACTGTTTGTTTGTCGAACAGGGTATGGCTTTGCATGATACATCCAGCAGAACCTTTAAGTTACTTTTTTAAAAAACTAAAACTCCCAGAATCCTCCAGCCAAATATGTCAATCAGGTATGTGAGCCAGAGAAATTCTAGAGGTGTCACTCTAATAAAAAGTAACTTTGTGATCTCTGACCTTATGAATGTCTAAAACAGGGAGGTGACCTTCCTTTAGTCCCAAGGTAGGGCAACGAAACATTAGTAAAAGAAGTAACTTCTGTCATTAAGTCATCAGAACGAGCTTTCTAAGGAATCTACCAAAAAGTATGAGATCTGTGCTATCTGGTATCCCATCAATTTAGGAGACAGCGATTCCTGAGGCTTAAATTTCTATTCTGCCCAGGGCCAGCCTGACATAGTTTGCTGCCTGAAGCAAGATGGCACCCTTCCCCACTTGATGTAATGATTCATTGCAATCTATACCAGTTTGTGTGGCATTCTCAGCTCTATCTACCCATAGAAACCAAGTAAGGGATCCAGGAGGAATCATTTGAATATAATAGAGCTCTCTGTGATTCTGCCTTCTCTCAAAGACAGGCATGGTTCAGGGTAGCTCAGAGTAGACATGATTCCTGCTCACTTCTGTCTCCACAGCAGCCCTGTGAAGTAGGGGAGGCTGAATGAGAGATTGTGCGAATGTCCCATAGCAAGCTTCACAAATAAGGAATCTAACCTGGATTTCCCACACATAGGCCAACCTTCTCACCTACTTTCTTGAACCAAGCTCATCTGATCTTCAACTAAATCAACTCTGGACTACACAAGGGCCTAACCTCCCAGATACTATAGTGCTAGAGTGCAATACTTATTTTTGGAACCCACCACAGACAAATAAGGCATTCTGGAGGTCAGAGTACTGAGCCATCCCGTAGCAAACTGCATCTTCCCCTTTGCAATAACATGTACCCATTTCCCATTTCCACCCATCCATAAGCCATTGTTGAAATGTGCAAAGCGTTGAGAACCCATTTTGGACACGGAGACCAAGTGTCTCCTTCACCATGGCAGAAGCATCAACAACCAGAGTGAGCTTCAGGGTCTGGCCAGTTTTGGCAATATGCTGTCTTTGCTCCATCCCCAGTTGACGGATTTTGGCTGGGGGAGTGGAAAGAAGAGCATGGTGAAGATGAAGAAGACGAAGAAGAGGGGGAGGACAAGGAACAGCCATTATCATCTCCCCCTATTCCCGAGGAAGTCATACTGGTTTGTCCAAAGTCTTGGGTAAAGTGGCTCCACTCGAGGAGGAAATCTTCCGACACACAGTGTTGGTGTGGTTCCGGCAGCGACAGCCTGGCCGTTTCACAGCATCGTAGCCCCGCTGGCACAGTTTGAGGCACCCCAAGGTGGGAAAGTAGCAGCATAGGCAGGGCATGAGCACAGAGAGGAAGGTCATGGCGGCCCAACGGACGCAGCAGGATCCCGGGCCGCAGGAGCACGGGTCATCTGCGCAGGTGTCCTCGTCATCCGAGGAACAGTGGTAGAAGATGCCCTTGACGCAGCAGAGGCAAGTCCCATAGTCTATGAGATTCTCCGGGGAGCAGAGGCAGCGCTGGTTGCAAATCCAGCAAGAGGGCAAGCTCCGGGCGGCCGCACAGTGGGCACACTTGCAGTGCCCGCACTCCTCGCAGATGAAGAGGTGGCCTGCGTGGAAAGCAGGGGTTTTCCCAGACATCCCCTTCAGCAGCTCCTCAGGTTTCAGGTCGCCTGCCTGGGGCTGCGTCCGGATAAGTGAGTGCCCGGAGTGCGGTGGCGTGATGCTACCGAGCAGCCGCTGCTCTGAGGCCGTGGTGCTGTGGGAGATAGAGCTAGCGGTGCTGGAATGGCTCAGGGGCTGCATCTGGTGCGGTTGGCCAGGGCCAAGGTCCTGGAGGATGGAGGTCATCAGGTGATCCTGAGTCACCTCCTGTTTATGGATCGCCTGTGGTTGGGATAAAGAAAGGCTGGAGGGTGCTTGCTTGAAGCAGGTTGGTCTCTCCACATAGTCATTGGTGGCACGGATGGCGTGGATCTGGTCGATGGAGAGGACCTGCTGGAACTCCTCTGGTACAGAGTCCATGACCTCTTCGGGGCTGTGCTCAGTGATGCCAGTTGCAAGGGGCATTCTGGGGGAGGAGGAACTCTCTGCTCAACAGGGAACATTAGAAGAACCTACAGAAGAAACAAGAAGCCAGAAAAAGAGACAACCATCCGTTAATTATAATCATGATCCAATCATTGATGGGGCAGGAAAGGAAGAAAAGGAAAGAACAGTCGATCCCAAGTTTGTGTCCTCCATAAGTGTTGGACTACATCCTCCAGAATATGATGGGATTGGTTCACTGGGGATTGTAGTCCAGCACAATTAGTAGTGGAGATTGCATTGGAAAAGTCTGCTCAAGAGCTCAGAAAAGAATTCTACATTCAGATGGATATCCTCAAATCAGGAAGTTTTAGGAAAGGGGGAAAATTTCCATGACATCACATGATGCCTTGCAGTTAACCTCTAGCTGGTGTCTTGAAGAAATACCAGTGGCAGTAGCAAAATCAATTATTCTTACTGATATCTATAGCAGCATTTATAAGACATAAAATAGCCCAGAATCATGGGAAACTCTGGATTGCCAGAGATTTATAGTTGAACTCTTAGACATATTGGCACATATCTTTGCCCTAGATAGAACTGAACCATGGACATGAATTGGAAGGTAGGAAGAACGATTGATTAAGAACAATGCCCTGTGTTCTCAACACAGAGAAACTATACCCTATCTATAACTGAACTTTAATAAGAAATGTGCCTGTATAGTGAATTAATATAAGATGTTTGTAAGTAAACAAGATATGTAACTTTTTAAAGAAGACTTTGATTTTGGTCTCTGAGTGCATATTTTTAAACTAAGAGGTTTTGAGGGAGAGTATATGTTTTGAGCAACTGCAATTTCAACTTCAAAGAAACATTTTCAAAACTCTGTTAGCTAAGTATATGTTTTTTTGTGCAGTGGCATGTCTTTGTTCCTGGCAGTTCAAAGACGTGGTTTATCAGTTTCACAGCTGAGTTACCTGTGTGCCATTACATGAATGTTTGTGAACATCACTTGTTCAAAGGGTTGAATTCTAACAAGGTCATGCTTTTCCTTGACTAGTGGTTTTCAAAAGGTGGTCTCCAGATGTTCTTGGAGATTCACATTTGCCAAATGGATATGACATCATGTTCTTTTTCAAAAAGGTTAAGATTGTCAGTTTTTCCACTTTTTCCCAAAAAGAACAGCCACAGGCCTCACAATGGATTCCACACTCTTCCCTCAACCATCACAATATCCATCAACCCCCCACAAGTGGGTGGAGTGATAGGTGCATGTCAAGTTGGGAATGTTGCCCAGCAAAGAGCCAACAACAATAGCCTTGTCGTAGAGCAATGGTCTGCAAGTGTTTTAGACTTCATCTCCCAGAATTCCTGACAGTTGGCTAAGACTTCACCTCCCAGTATTACCGACAGTTGGCTAATCTTTGGGAAACCAAAGGTTGCTGTAGAGAAAACAAGAGCGAAATGCTCTGGCTTGAGTAATTTAGGTCATATTTCTATGGGAAAACCCGAAGCAATTTAAAAGAGAGCCTGATTCAACTCCCAGATGAAATGTGGATCAGGTTCCACACCGTGAATGCTTTAGCAGGACGGCCTAGTAGCTAGTAGGAGCCGGAATGCATGCACTGAAAGGTACACACAGAAGGACAGAGTATACATACATTGGAAATATGCACCAATGCAGATGTGCACCAAGCACACACTGCAATCTCCTGAATCCAGTCACTCCTTTCTCTGTGATGAGCAACCCTTCACATGACTTGCCCGCATAATTAAGGCAAAACAGAAGAACCTTTTGCTTCCCAGATGAGGAGAGTTAAGCATCACAAGCCTCACAACCATTCATCCTGAAATCTGCTTCCAGCAATCCCATATGGAATAGGGACAAAGGTGAGGACTTCTCATAACACATCCTGCACCATATAGACTAGCCTGTTGCCCTGGAATATGATGTAAACAGTCACTGCCAGTCCAAGTCAAATTTGACCAGGGAGAATCATAGAATCATAGAGTTGGAAGAATCATGGGCCATCCAGTCCAAACTCCTGCCAAGAAGCAGGAAAATTGCATTCAAATCACCCCTGACAGATGGCCATCCAGCCTCTGTTTAAAAGCTTCCAAAGAAGGAGCCTCCACCACACTCTGGGGCAGAGAGTTCCACTGCTGAACGGCTCTCACAGTCAGGAAGACCTTCCTAATGTTCAGATGGAATCTCCTTTCTTGTAGTTTGAAGCCATTGTTCCATTGCGTCCTAGTCTCCAGGGCAGCAGAAAACAAGCTTGCTCCCTCCTCCCTATGATTTCCTCCCACTTATATATACATGGCTATCTTGTCTCCTCTCAGCCTTCTCTTCTTCAAGTTAAACATGGCCAGCTCTTTAAGTAGCTCCTCATAGGGCTTGTTATCCAGACCCTTGATCATTTCAGTCGCCCTCCTCTGGACACATTCCGGCTTGTCAATATCTCTCTTCAATTGTGGTGCCCAGAATTGGACACAATATTCCAGGTGTGGTCTAACCAAGGCAGAATAGAGCATGGGTAGCATGACTTCCCTGGATCTAGATACTACTCCTATTGATGCAGGCCAAATGCTATCTTGTCCATTTCTCCCCTCCAGTTTGCTTGTGACACTTTTTCCCTTTCTTGCCAATGCATAAGTGGCTCTTCTACAACCTAGACACTGTTGCTACTAACTCTGTTACAAACTATCTCCCCCTCCCCCCTATGTATCATCTCCCCATCTCTCTTGCACAGATTATGGTAGTCTCTTCCTTCATGGCCCAATTGCTCTATTTTCCATCTTCACAACCGCGATGGATCAATAATATCAAGTCCTAGGACAGTGTTTCTCAACCTGGGGGTCGGGACCCCTGGGGGGGTCGTGAGGGGGTGTTGGAGGGGTCACCAAAGACCATCAGGATATGCAGTATTTTCTGCTGATCATGGGAGTTCTGTGTGGGAAATCTGGCCCAATTCTATCATCAGTGGGGTTCAGAATGCTCTCTGATTGTAGGTGAACTATAAATCCCAGCAACTACAACTTCCAAATGTCAAGGTCTATTTTCCCCAAACTCCACCAGTGTTCACATTTGGGCATATTGAGTATTCGTGCCAAGTTTAGTCTAGATCTATCATTGTTTGAGTCCACAGTGCTTTCTGGAGATAGGAAAAGGAAGGGGCCTGAGGCCAGGAATTGTGGGAGTTGAAGTCCAAAACACCTAAAAGGCTGAAGTTTGCCCATGCCTGGTGTAGATGAACACAACTATTCAGAGGATGCCAGGCTACAAACACATGCACATATAAGAGCTCATACCTCTCATGAAAGGCTTTAGAGTACCAAAGAACTAGGCTTTCAGGGAGCGGATAACATACTGTGTTGGTGAAATGACCAATTTGGTGGAATAGACTTTCTGCTTTCATTAACATCATTCTAAGATGTGTTTATGTTCCAGCCTTTTCCCTCCCAAAGAAGGACTCAAGACAACTTGCATTTAAAAATAAATACAGCTAATACACAAAATGCAACGTGCCCAGCATGGCTGCTCTCCTCCGCCACCCTTTTAAGGTCAGCCAACGAATGTCTCCATAGAAAAGCGAGGCTGGAGTCAATGAAGGCAGGGCGCAGCTAGTAACCAAAGCTGTCTGAGCAATTGGAGGGGAGGGAGAAGGGAGGCCGTGGGATGATTGATTTCTGTTCGCCAGTTTGACCTTGAAGAAGCGCAGAGATCAAGAACTCCGTGCCCTTGGCGGCTAAAAGCCAGGGCTAAATTTGGTGCTCCTCCCTCCAAGGAAAAGCAGCCAGGTTTCTTGAAAAGGTCTTGAGTCTCCAGGATGAGAACGGGAAGGGAGGAGGATGCTGTGAGGCACATGAAAGGCTGAGAAGCCCAGGCGCATGAGGCATATTTGCATATTATTTATTTTATTTTATTTAAAACATTTATATTCCGCCCTTCTCACCCCGAAGGGGACTCAGGGCGGAGCACAGCATATACACAGCAAACATTAAATGCCGGGACACAAATTCACATACACATACATAAACATTTTTTTAAACATTATCAAAATATTAAAATACACGCTCTGGTTACATCCCGCTTAGACTACTGCAACGCTCTCTACGTGGGGTTGCCCTTGAAGACGGCCCGGAAGCTTCAACTGGTCCAGCGTGCGGCAGCCATGTTACTAACAGGAGCGGGACGCAGGGAGCATACAACGCCCTTGTTGTACCAGCTCCATTGGCTGCCGATTTGCTACCGGGCTCAATTCAAGGTGCTGGTGTTGGCCTATAAAGCCCTAAACGTTTCCGGCCCAAAATACCTATCTGACCGCATCTCGGCCTATGAGCCCACGAGGACTTTGAGATCGTCCGGGGAGGCCCTGCTCTCGATCCCGCCTGCTTCACAGGCACGCCTGGCGGGGACGAGAGATAGGGCCTTCTCGGTGCGGAATATCAACAGGGAGGGGGCTAGCCTGATGTCTACGGGAAAGGTGTTCCACAGCCGAGGAGCCACCACCGAGAAGGCCCTATCTCTCGTCCCCGCCAGCCGTGCCTGTGACGCAGGCGGGATCGAGAGCAGGGCCTCCCCGGAAGATCTCAAAGTCCTCGTGGGCTCATAGGCCGAGAGGCGGTCAGTTAGGTATCTTGGGCAGGAACCGTTTAGGGCTTTATAGGCCAAAACCAGCAACTGTGGAACACCCTTCCCGTGGACATCAGACTGGCTCCTTCCTTGATGATATTCCGCAGGAAATTAAAGATGTGGCTGTTCAAGAAGGCGTTCGAACAAGAAGTGCAATAATTGGTAATGACGACAGGAATGGAACAACGGAAAATGATACTGGATTGTGGTTTAACGATGAGACGATGCGAAATGGCTTTTTGTATTATTGATATTGATATTGTTGATGTTGTTGATGACGATGCTTTTGTTATTGCTAGATTGATTTTAGATTGTGTCTTGTAATTTGCACCCTGTCCTCTCTCTGTTGTACACCGCTGTGAGTCACCCCCGGGCTGAGAACAGCGGTATATAAGCACAGTAAATAAATAAATAAATAAATAATTTAAAACTGTCCTAGTCATCCGCGTC